TTGTATTTTGGTAGACACAGGGTTTCACCATGGTCAGAATGGTCTCGATATCCTGACCTCATGATCCACCCGCCTTGGCCTCCCAAAGTGCTGGGATTACAGGTGTGAGCCATTGTGCCCGGCCAACATTAACTACATTTTTTTTTTAAAAAAAAGAAACAGAAATGGTGGTTTGCAATTTTTTTCACTTCATGAGACTGTGATTTATTTCCCTGGTTAGGCCACACAATTCCTTAAGAACATGGACTTTCCCCAGTAGTCTATGAACTGTACTGAGATGCTCAACAGACTGCAGCAAAGCCTTTGCTTCCTCATCTGGTCCTCTCTGGCAGTCTCCATTCCCTTACCTCTCATGGCCACTCTGCTCCTCTGACCCTGCAGTCCCCAAAGTCACCAATGGTCTCCATAGCAACAAAATGTAGTGGGCTCTTATAAGTCCTTATATTGCTTGATTTCTTGGCAGCAGCTGACACTGACTACTGTCAGGCCTCCATGTGCAAGCCTGGACCCGGAAAGTCTGAAGTCCTGCCTGCCTGCTGATCGCCCCGCACCGCCCCCCAACCCCACCTGAATTCGTCATGCATGATCCCTGATCACCCAGTGGAGCTTCCCCGGGACATTAAGCTTCCTTTCCAACCCTGCGATTTTCACTGTTATTATAATAATGTGAATACTCCACCCCACCCTGCCATCTTAACTGTTCTTACATTAATACTCCTCACCCCACCACGCCATCTTAACTGTTCTTGCTATGTGAATATCCCTCTGCCCTACCCTACCATCTTTTTTTTTTTTTTTTAATAGAGATGGGGTTTCTCCGTGTTGGCCAGGCCAGTCTCGAACTCCTGACCTCAGGTGATCCACCTACCTCAGCCTCCCAAAGTGCTGGGATTATAGGTGTGAGCCACCGCACCCGGCTACCCTACCATCTTTACCCTTACGCCTTACCCCACCCACCATTGTGACTGAACTTAGGGTAATGTATACTCCTTGCCCCTGACCCCACCACTGTACCTGATCTTACTCTAACTTCCACTGCCCACCCCAAACCTATAAAACCAACTCCTATCCCACCGCCCTTCGCTGACGCCCTTTTCAGGCTCAGCCCACCTGCGCCTAGGTGAATAAACAACCATGTTGCTCACAGAAAGCCTGTTTGGAAGATCTCTTTATTAAATGCGTTCAATATTCGGTACTATTGGACGCAAATAACAACTACTCCTTGAAGTGTCCCTGCCCAGGCCTTCCACAATGTCACAGTCTCTTGCTGCTTCTCCCTCCTCCTTAGCTATTGCTTCACTACCCTGAGGGCTCAGCTCTAAACCTCTTCTCAATCTCTTCCTTTTCCCTAAGATGATTTTATTCACCCCTATAATTTGTT